AAAATTTAAGCTAGACTTTGAAGAATAGGTATTGTAATGAAGGTAAACTGAATAAAAACACAGAGAGTTCAAGATATCTGAAAAATGAAAGTAGACTTTTTGGGCTAGAACAGGTCTATGGAGGGAAGCCGTGGGGAACAAGGCTGAAAAGGTAGGTTGTTGCCACATTGGGAAGTGTCCTGACAATCAAAGCTAGAGTTATTTCCATCCCAGTTGCAGTGGGAACTCACTGAAGTTTAGTAAATCTTCAGATTTACCTTAATGGAACACTCATGGGGTTTCCTGAGATTAATATATAATCTCCTGAAGTAAAAGGAGACATTGCCACACAACAATAATTCCTTGGCACTCAGAACACTAGAGCTAGTTTTTTGTGTTTTTTCTTTTTGTAGTTTTAATTTCTTTATTAAGGTACTACATATGTGTCCTTATTACATATGTGTCCCCCATCACCCCCCCACTCATGCCCTCACCCCCTGTTGTCTGTGTCCATTGGTTATGCTTATATGCATGCATACAAGTCCTTTGGTTGACCTCTCACCCTTACCCCCACCCTCCCCTACCTTCCCTCTGAGGTTTGACATTCTGATTGATGATTCCCTGTCTCTGGATCTGTTTTTGTTTATCAGCTTATGTTGTTCATTATATTCCATAAATGAGTGAGATCAGGTGATATTTATTTTTCTCTGACTTAAAGAGCCAGTTTTCTAATCCTTGCTCTGCTACGGGCTCATTGGTAATGGGAAAGGTAACTTCTCTAGGCCATAATTTCAACTATAAAATAAAGGGTTAATCAAGATCATTTCTAAAGTTCCTTCCAGCCCTAGCCAGTTTGGCTCAGTGGATAGAGCATCCGACTACAGACTGAAGGGTCCCAGGTTCGATATTGGTCAAGGGCACATGCCTGAGTTGCGGCTCAATCCCCAGTAGGGGGCGTGCAGGGGGAAGCTGATCAATGATTCTCTCATCGATATTTCTATCTCTCCCTCTCCCTTCCTCTCTGAAATCAATAAAAATATATATATATATATAAAAATAAAGTTCCTTCCAGCTCTAAAATCAATTATTCTCATTCTCCTATTAGAGACTTTCTCCAGTGAGGAAAGAAGAAAAACCTGTTATAACCTATTTAATGACACTGAAATCACAGTTTTAATTATTTAAATTTGCAGATTTGTTCTAATTCTGTCTGCACTGCAAAGTAGAAATTTGCACACTGGAAGTCACTGAACCTTTGATTTATTCACTGAACCTTTGTTATAAAAAGCACCTATGGAGAGCAGATGAAGGCATTTTTTTGACTAAATTATCAAATTATTTTTCAACATCACAGATGAACATTTTTAAAACAAATTACAATAAAATTATAGCAAAATACTTTTAAAAAGTGTACACTTGAATGTTATAGTAGATAACACTACTGATTTGATCTTTGTATTTTTTGTGCTGTACAGGAAATGCCAATACTAAATTTGTCACAAACTCATTTTCAAAAGAAATTGCATCCATAAAGGGACAAGTTCTTTCTTTTTCTTTCTCTTTCTTTCTTTTTTTTCTTTTTAATTAGCAACATGAAAAAAAAATTAAGAGCTTTTCTAAGAACAGAAGAGTCATGGAAACAGAAGTGTTCTGTGTGGATGCTTCGCAGTCATCCCTAGGTTTCCGCAGGGTACACTGAGGCAGAAAACCTTGTTTCTAGTTTCTGCTCTACCTCGGTTAGCTCTGTGAGGGCAGAAACCATTTATCAGGTTTTACCTCTCCTTTGAAATACTTACTACAATTATGGTCATCATTGTCTTTTCTCTCACTACTGGATTGCAAGATCTAAGTGTCGGGACTCCGTATTCACAGCTCTCTCTATCCAGCATGTAAGTTACTCAATATTCACTGAATTAATTTTTTAATTTAGCTGTAAAGTGAGGTAGTTGGACAGAATTTCCCATGTCCTTTCCACCTTTGATTCTAATAGATATGAACTTACTTTGGATTATCTAAGTCCAGACTGTTGAATTTTCCCCTTCAGCTTACTTTATAGCCTTTTATTGCATACTAGTACTTCTCCAAATTAGGACATTTTTGTTTTAATTCAACTTGAAGATAAAGCAGTACAAGGATTATGTCTAGACAAGGAAGGATTCTGAGGGAGTGATATTGCACATGCTGTTGAACCCAACTCCTACCTCTTGAAGTTGTGGTTTGTGTCTAAAACAAGTAAAACTAAAAAGGTAAAGGCAAATCAAACTTCAGAACAATTTATAAAATTTGATGATATTCTACATTTTACAGGTGCTAACGCACAATAAGTTTGTTGAACCTCCAAGAACATAATCCAGCACAATATGGTAGTCCTTTGTACCAACAAAACTTGGTAAGAAGAATCATGAATTTTTTTATTTATCTGTAAAGGATGCTTTGCACTTGAGTATACATATTTCTTTAATGTAAGTCAAAAGCCCATTACAGTGTATCCTGTTACAATGAAAATCTTTTACTTAATCTGGAAGCTCACTCAATTATTTTGAGCATTATATACAACTCAACAGATACAATGAAATCCTGACAACTCTTTGAAATGTTGTAGCTAAATTACAAAGAGTAATTGGATAATGTAGACAACTGCAACAAAGCATTTACTCTCATACTGTGCTCAAAATTAGATGACACATAAAATTCAATTGGGAGCCTGGCCAGCGAGGCTCAGTGGTTGAGGGTCAACCTATGAACCAGGAGGTCACAGTTCGATTCCGGTCAGGGCACATGCCCAGGATGTGGGCTCCATCCCCAGTGGGAAGCGTGCAGGAGGCAGCTGATCAATGATTCTCTCTCATCATTGATGTTTCTCTCTCTCTCTTCCTCTCTGAAATCAATAAAGATATGCTTTTTAAAAATTCAATTAGGGAAGGGAGTTAAAAAGAACCGTGCTTCTTCCTTGAATCAGACTTGGATAAACATGAGATAAGGGTAAATCCTAGGTGGGGAAGTATTTAATTCATTGTGCTTTTATATATTTTTCTTGCTACCTATTCCCAGTTATAAACTTTAAATCCGTGCATTTGGGTACTATTTGTTTTATCTCAAGTACAACATAATACTAGGCAGTCTTTAAAATCATTTTCTATTAATTGTAAAATATACACTCAGATAAGAACTCTGGAGAGCACTTGTGATCTTGGTTTCCAGCATGCATCAATTTGGTTCAAACAAATTCTTATTAAAAAAAAAAAAATGGAACTCTGTAAAATCATTTTCTTTTAGAAGGCATAAAATATCCAGGGAACTTTTATTTTTAAAGAACAAATCAAATAAGACATAGCTTTCATTGACCCAAACATGCATAATCCATCCTTAATATAAAATGCACTCAATTGGAAAATTACACATGAAATACAAAGGGAATGCAACTTTACATATGTAAAATGGTTGCTAGCTATAGCAATTTAACAGTCAAATTAATAGACATTGTATATTAAAAGACATCACCACCATCTTAAAGTCAATTACCTATGATACACCAAGGGAAATTCTGATATGGAATGGTTTGACTCAAAGCAAAGAATAAGGCACCTGCTATGAACTTAGAACAATAACTTTCATTTTAAAAGTTACAATAAAATAGAATTAACCAAGATACTTGTTTCAAAGAGGGAAACAAGTATAGGAGTTGACTTCCTGGGTGAGAAAGGCAGGTAACAATGAAGATAAAACCTGCTGGCCCCAGGTCAGCTGATTCTTTTCCTAGAGTAGTCAAATTCCTGACAAGCCTTACCACTCCCCTCCCACACTCTCTCCCATACCTTGGGGCATCAGAAGCTCTCTCTGAAGGTCACACTGAGTATAGACAAAGTAGCAGATTTCCCTTCTGTTCCTTTTAAAACAGCTTATTTTAAAAGAAATATCCTGAGGCAATTAAACAAAGCAAACAAGCAGCTTTCTTTCCAATTAACAGACATCTCTCAGGTTTTTTTCATCAAGTTATGGCTAAGTATTTAAATAGCCAATACTTTCAGTTTTTAACAGTACCAGAAAACCCCAAATCTGCCTTCCTACTCCCTTACCATTACAATGGAAGTCTGATCATAACCTATAAAATTATACAACAAAGGGAAAACTAAGGACTGATCCCTTATCAGTAAATCCATTTAATTCCAGATGATACATTAGTCTGATGTATCTAGAACCCCAACAATTTTAATCATAAATCTAGAAAAAACATTTCCAAACTAGGTGTAACTTTTTAGTTGTTGTGCCTTTTTGATGTTAAAAGTGCTAATAACATGCTAAGATGTTTTATGGCACATTGGGCTCAATAGTATGTCCTGATGAGGCATCCATTTTTAGTCGTATTTTTCCTCTTAGACTCTGTCTACCATAGTAGACCCCTTTGATACATTAAAGTAATTCTGATGAAATCACTGGTGAGATAAACAAACCTTCCCTGACTGTACTCCACCATGATAGGTTTTAGTGAAACTGAAGTGACTAAATTACAAAATGCTCAACCAAGTTGTTTTCTTATGGCATCTCAGGTTAGTATATTCACTCATGCAAAATCCAAGGTAGTGTACCAGAAATAATATTAAAGTAAACATGGCTATAAGCATCTCCTTTTACATTAGGCGTTTAGAAGCTTTTAGAATTTCCTAGGTGCTATAGATTGTGGGAAAACTAGGCTAACTGTATAGTTGTTCCATTTATAAGCACCTTATTACAGTACAGGTCCATGACCCTATATGGGAGTGTGCTTTCAATTCAAGATATTGTAATAAGTGCCTAGCTATATAAAAACCATAAGATTCCAAATTTTAAATTAAGCTAACTGCATGTACTCATTAGAGTTAACAAAATCTAGACCCTGTCCACACGGACTTAATCTAATTACCTATACTGTATACTGTTTTAATAACCACATTAAAAAACTTACTCTTTAATGACTGAATAAGTAGGGTCCACTATGCCTTTTTTTCATTTGGGGTTGTTTCTTTATCCATTTTTTTTTTTTTGTAGCTTAACAATCAAATTTTATTGCTTTATTCATGTGGTGCTTTTGCAAGGCACTGTGGTATGAACTAGAAAATTTGGAATGACTTGTGAAAAAACCTTGGAATGACACATGAATGATGATATGAAAAGTCATTCTGAGGCAGGATGATTTACTGAATTGTTTTTACCCAGGGTATCAAACATCGGGAATGAGTTCAAGTTAAAATTCACAGGAGAATGGAAACATCTTAAGGTCAGGCTCTTCACATGCCCATCCTGATACTTTGAATAATCTGGAAAATTGCTGTAAAGAGAAAGAGCAAATATTAAAACATGCTTTGAATAAATTGGTCTGGCAAGGGGCAAATATTTATTAACACATTGCGTACTGCTCAGGAGTTTTCTCCTGTTTCGCGCGCGCCATCTGTTAAGGACCGCTCACGAGTGTTCTTAGATGTCAACACACTGTCTTGTCCACTGTGGGGCGCGGTTACAGTGTTTTGGCCAGGTTCAAGCCTCAGACTAATGAAAGGACAGGGTCCTCTCACTGCCACGTGTAAGTCCCAGCTGGAGGGCAGGGCCCTCCCAGCACAATCATACCCAACGGATGGGTTGTAAGCTTGAACCTATGGTCCGAACACGTAGCCCCTAAAGTTCTAGAAACTTTAATTGTTTTTGTAAATAAAAATGTTATAATTATTGAAAAACAACACCTAAAGTGCATTATGATCTGTAGTTATGATGATTTAAATAACGTGCAGTTTGCCCAAAAACGTACGGTCCCTGGCGTATGTCTTAGAGATTTCTATGCGGTACGCAATGTTAAGGTAGGGTACCCTTAAGTAACTTGCAAATGCTATGTAACTTCATTGTAATAAGAAATGAAGACAGGCCTACCATAAAAAAACAAATGTCCATTAAGTTATTTTTTAAAATCTCAGCTTCTGAGTTTTCTATTTAAATGTCCCAGAGAGTTTGACAATAGCATTTCAGAAAGAACTTAAAGTACCAAAGCAAACAGGTTTTTCAAGCACAGAATTATTTTGGTTTATCACTAGATATTACATGTCCTCTGAAGGCCTGGCCTGTAACATGCATGTTTCCTCATTCTCACAAGGCTGAAATTCAATCATCTTTAGGTTATATAAATTGCTTGGCTCTTGGCCATTTATTAGGAAAGCTTCCAACTGGTAAGTTTAGGAGACAGGCAAAGTGAAATGTTTAAAAGAAACCCCAATAAAGTTAGAATGTCAGAATTTGAAATGCAGAAACATGTACTTCAATATCAACAGCTTATATAAGATAATAAATGATATTCTGTAATGCATTTGCAGAGGCAAGAATCTATAGCTAACAGCAGGCTGCCCTGATAACGAATTTTTCTACCATATGTCAAATGTTTCTTTTATTGATCTAAAACCATTTGTCACATATTAAATTGCCACGTTTCTTCTATAGTGAATCAGTTCTTCGCACTAGCTTTACCCTAAAATATACCCAGCTTTTGAAATAAGATGTTAGATTCTGGGACATGTTAAATTAAGTTAGAACATCCATATGTACATAATGTTCAAGTTTCTTTTTTTTGCAAAGGAATTGATAATGGAATAGCAAACCATCCTATTTCCTTCTCTGAGATGTTTTCGTTGTTTGTTTTGCTCTACATTTCTTCCAGCTTGATCATTACTAAGAACCTGACGACCTCCTTTTCTAGTATCCTGTGGGCACAAGTCAAGCTGGGAGAAGTTTCTGGAGCATCACCCTCTGTGCATATGTGGGACAAGTAAATTTGTTCGGATGAAAGAGAATTATGTAGAGCGCGCGGCAGGTGGGTAGAGAACTACGCGGTTCAGACTCACCACTGAGAGGTCACCACGTCATCCTAAACCCGTCATCCCACTTCCCACCCGACGTGGCCCCCAGAGCACTTACCAGAACCACAAACAACAAAAATGAAGAGAGCCAATAACCAAGGTCCTACAGACGCCTTCTCTTCGGGAGCATTTCTCTGCAAAAAGGAAAACCCACCGTTTCAAATGCAAAAATCCACTGCGACCCAGGACTCCCACAGCGGAGTCTCTCCTCCGTTCCCGAGCCGCCCAGCTTCGGCACCCCCTTCCCCGAACCCCCAACTTAGTGTCCAGCTCGCGGCCTCGGGCCCCCACAACCGGCCGGGTCTGGGGAGGACTCGACGTGGCCCTAGACTCGGGCCTCAGCTCCGGCTGCAGCACAGAGGCGCGTCCGCTCTTTCCTTACCGAGGTCTTGGCTACGTTGCCGCGCTGGGTGATATTCTTGCTGTGCTTCTCGTTAGCCATACGGATCCGCTGTTTGGCGACCATCTTCGCGGCGCCACCACTAACCCAAACCACCCCTTGGCCTCGTTCGCTCCCCCTCGGACCGCTGCGACGCCCCGCTCCCGGTGCCGCGCCGCGGGAACCGGGAGGTTCTCAGGCGGGCGCTAGGTTGGGCCTGAGAGCTGCAAAC